CCTTACCATCTTTTCTTGCATTGTATTGTGATTGTAATGCCTTCCTTCTACTGTAAAGTGCTGCACAAACTGTTGGCGCTATATAAATCCTGAATAATAATAATAATAATAATTTTGCTGACAACAAACCATATCCATATATACCAATATCCTTTATTCACATTCAGCTTGTTCCAAAATGGTTGTAGGTCAAATTAACTCTGTCTATGTAAGAATTTCTTAGACAGCTGTGCACAGACCTCCTAGGGCATCAACAAATATTTGCAACTATCCCATTTGGCAGAGCAGATACTTTAGGAGCCTGCAAAGGCATAATGGAACATTATGAATAATGTCGAAGTTTTTGATGCACGGTATCTGTAGGTATAAGTCAAATGACAAGGTCAAAGCTATTGCCACATGATGAGAAACCGGTAACAGAATAAGCATATAAATATTGTATTAAAATCATTTAAATGTTTCACCTGTTTTATTTGGAAACTTAAACATACCTGACTGAAATAGATTGCAGGCGATCAGAGGTCTGTTCTGTACATACCTAATAGCAAAGCAGCAATATTATATTAGAAAGTATCTGTGCCCTTGGATAACAGCCAGAGTACTACAATTTTTTGAAGGAGACCCCTTACTGGTCGATTTTAATACATTTTATAGTTCTCTAAAACATTTGTGTCCACAAGTCAATATTAGTTCTGAAAAAGCGGACAGTTGTTGAAGAAAGAGAGACCGAAGGATTTGGGTCTCAAGAGTAACTAAACCTCAAACACAGGAACAGTTGTGAGTTATGGTAATGGTTATCTCAGGACAGCAATCCCACATGCAGCAAAACTGATTTCAGATTAAATGCCCAAATGCTGTAAAAAGCGTTTTGGCCTTAACCGATAATGAATGTGTGTAAATAGATTTAGAATTAATAGAAAACTGTCACTCAAAGGAAGCCTGATCTCTAATTAGATTTTCATTAAAATGGCTTGCATTTGCCCAGGCACCTAGTAGATTTTACTGTAGAACTGACAATTTCCTTTCTTTGCACTGGTTTATGTAAGCCTTGAGACCTCTTAGCTAGATATAATGTTCAAGGTCACTTACAAAGGACTTCTGCTCGGCATGTTCATAATTCTGCACAACCAATACAGTTGTTAGCACACTCCAGTCTAAGATAAATGGCACTGAGTCAAGAGTCAGAACTGAAATATGGGCAATTTTGTTTCTGGATCATTTCCTCTATGATTGCTTGCTGTAATAAAACAACTGTCATCGTCATTTTGTGTTGTTATGAGTATAGAATAGCACTGCAGCATTTTTTGTGAGTAAATCCAAAGCGTTGTATTGTGTTAAACATGTAAACAGTCAATTGTCGCCTTCATATTTTTTTCAAAACTGGTTTACATTAATTTTATCTATACAATTTTTCTAGTTTAAAAACACTACATGGTTTTACAAAATATGCACCTTCGTTTTATTATAAAGAGAAACTCCAAGCTAACAGCTTGAAATACATACTGTATATAGGAATTGTATACCTTCCAAAGGATTCGTAATTCTGTTATGCTGCAGGTGACCCCTTAATTTTCTGGTTCAACTTTGCACTTTTTAGTGCGTCCTCTCCACCTCCATCCTGCTCATTAGACTGTGAATCAACATCATCAACTTTGCACTGCACTGAGCGGACACCTGGGAAGCTGTTAAAATAGATCTAAACCCTATCGCTAAAATCTTATCCATCTTGTTTTCAATCTCTGCTTTCGATTAAAGAATAGCTGGTAATCTCATAACTGTGCTCCTGCATTGTCAAACTGTCACATGCACCCCTGGTTAAGAATACGAGCCACAGTGCTGAGCATTTTTCAGGCATGGTCCTCCATCACTATCAGGAAGCCAGTGTAGAGCAATGATGTGCAGCTGGTGTGAATGCATTTAGACAGGAAGTAATTAAAAGAGGCAGAATGTGATCAGCAGCACTGAGATGAAAAAGGTGACAACAGTACATTATTTAAAAAAAATTGTGGTTAAAGCAGTTAACATAGGTATTTTAAATCTGACTTTCTTTCTTGATTTGAAGTTTCACATTACGCCTTCAAGAAAAAAAAAGTATAGCAACATGGTTTATTTCTATTTTTTCACAAATCAAAGTGTAGAGGTATAATGGTCTAATCTGTATTGATCAGCTTCATTACAGAAATTAGCTAAATTTTCATCACAATGTAGTGTGTAATAAAAGCTATTTTGAAAGTTGGTCAGTTTAAAGAACTATACTGAGAAAAATATATTTTTTAACAACACAGGCTGCCCCGAACTCCTGATCTGCATACTTGTTTCAAGCTCCATTCACATATATAGCGTTTGCGTTTCCAACATGTATTTTCGTGCGGAAGACCGGCAGCACGAAAACTGTAAAATCTTTTGCGGCTTTACTATAGCTGCGAAAGTGCGGAATCCGCCATAAAATTGTGCTTGTATTTTGCGGGATGCACGCTTTTGTACCACGCAACAGCCACAAAAGTCTAAACAATGCCCATTAAAGTGCATTGTTTTTCATATTAAGAGCGGTTCCGCATGTATTCATACGGCCGAAGATGTGCGGACAACCGATCCTGTGTGAATGGAGCCTTAAGTCTGTGACTCATGAACTATTAAAACGACTGGATCAGCATAGAAGCCAGCCAGCCAGCTAGCTAGCATTTTCAGGAGTCTGTTATATAAACCAAAAGGAGCCTTCTTAAGTCCCAGAAATATGTATTCATTTCCTCTAATTTCTTGAATTAAATAAATATGTGGGTGACCCTGGCCCCCAGGGAGATCACTGCTTTTTGGAAAGCAACCAAATGCAAGCCATATGTCTACATTAAGGACTCCTTTTTTTTACCATGGGGATCTGTATCCAGCGTTTTACTTCCACTTTCCTAAACAATTTAAGAAGGTCAGCAATTACTTAAATGATCTTCTACATGATATTAGGCTCTCTCCATGCATTCAAATTTGAAAGTGCACCGTATGACAGCTAGGCACCTACCATTTTCAGGAGGTCAGCAGTGTTATTAGCCCTATTAGCCTTAGCCCTGGTTCACACCTAGGCGTTTTTTGAGCAGTTCAAAAAGCGCTTTTAACTGCCCAACAGAAGAAATCCCATGATTTTCAATGGCCCTGTTTCACACCTGAGCAGGAAAACGCCAGCAGCCTGAAAAGATAAAGGAGCTTCTTTGGGCAGTTAGAAGCGCTTTTCCTCCCCATATACTTCATTGGAAATGCCCAAAAACGCGCAACATAAGCATGTTGCACATTTTCGTGAGCGTTTATCCATTGCCCACAATGGTTTATGAGCTGCCAATCAAAACGCGTGTCTTCATGTACGCGTGTTATAACGTGAATACAAATGTGCACAACACGCAAAAACGGTGCCGCCTAGGTGTGAACCAGGGATGAGCCTTTGATGTGCACTGCAGGGCAGCCAGGTGCCTGTCATTTTTAAGAGCACATCAATTACTTTAAAAACTTATTTTGCTTTTACGCACTTTCTGAACCTTTAAAACAGAAAGTAAACTTTTAAAAAAGCTCCTCTTCATGAAAAATATATATTTCTGAATTCTGCATTTATTGATACAAGAAAACAATTACAATCGGGTAAAGAGGAGAAACACATTACAGAGCTCCCAAAAACAGGACGGTATATAACAATCGCTAACTGGATAACATATCAACCGTTGTATAAAGCATATTAATGAAAACAAATATTGTACATAGTATAAGTCAAGCTTCTGGAGCATATCAAGTTCAAGAGCACGCCTATTAAAAAGGCTTGCCAACAGGACCGTGTCATGCAAAATATTGTCAAGCAAAACAAAAGGCAAACGCACTCATAAATTTGTTACCAGCTTTACAGCAAGGTGCACATGGAAGGGCTTTAAACAGTAACAGCAAAAAGTTTCCCAGCACACTCACCAGCCAGAATGCAAAAAAAAACATGTCTCACCGCTAAGGTTAAAAACACCTGCACCCAATTTGATCTTTGCCACATGTGCTCCAAGATGGAGACACTCATAGTTTAGAGTTAGGGCCGCACTATATAGAGGTGCCTTGGCGCGGTTGTGCGGCTTTCACATTTTCTGCAGAAGACGTGTATCTAAACAACAGTTTTTAACCTTAGCGGTGAGACAAGTTCTTTTTGCATGCTGGCTGGTCAGTGTGCTGGGAAACTTTTTGCTATGCAAAATATTGTGACTAAAAATATGCTCCTATGTTACTGATTCATCATGCCTTCTTTCACACCAAAGCACAAACTGTCTTTTTGTGTAGAGCTTTTTCGTTCCCGTATCTTTTGTTTCATTTGCTGACTTCTCTTTACTGTAAATCTCTACAGGCTGAAAGTTTTATCCCTGCATTTATTTTTTCAACTGCATGTGCTTCTCATTTGAAATGATTTGTGTTTGTTATCTATTGCTCACCCTTGTTTGCATCATTTTATACAGCTTGTAGGGAGATGATGGTGCTATAGGAGTCAATATTAATAATGATAGATAAAAACCTTCCTCAATGGTGCAATATTTTGCACTTGCATATATAGGTTTTTTCAAGCTGTATGTCTGTTATGTGACACACCTGTGAATGTAGGTGTCTAGTATGTAAAAGTTAATTTGGATGTGCTTGGGTCTTAGAAAAGTCTACAGTGTATTTTCATAGGCTTTTCATACAAAGATCAGGGTGTGGCAATGATGTATAAACAATGGTATAAAGGAATTCCAAATGTCATCATTTTTCTATCGTATGTTGGAAACGGAAACCTAATAATGGATGGAAAAGACCTCTATAGTCACTTACCACATGTCATTTTAAATTATTCCTAATGTGCGTTTTTGCGTGTTGCTTGTGTAACACCAAAACAGTAAAAAGCAACAGGTACAGAGCATTGCTATTCATTTGACATGACCTATGGGAACAGAGATTGTGGATGACAATGGTTTAAAAAAACACACATTTATTAAAGCGTTTTCTTTGTTTTTCAGATTACTGAATGTGTTATGCTGTAATCTAGACACCTTGTTACTTCTTGAGTCTCAGTACAAAGTGTGTGAAATGCTTTTAACTGCTCAGAAAGAAAATATTCCCGATTCCTCACAAGATTTAGGGTGAGTAGTACAGTACAAAGTCTTTTTCTTGACCATGTATTTCTAAATGTATGTAGCAGAGAGTAGTTCAGCTGAATGAATAAAGGGGCAAAAGGGGATTTTGCCCCAGATCCACCAGAACAGTAATGGAGCTTGGATTGTGATGTCGGAAGGGAGCTTTTATCCTACCTCCTTGGTACTCTGCAAAGCCAAGCAACCCTATATCTTAAGTATATCTTAAGCCAACTTGGTTTTGGTGTGGATTGAGCAGGAGAGAATTAAAACCTCTGTCAGGTTTTACTGTTGTCGCTGGGGAAATCTATCCTTTTTATTTGTCCTACTCACCATTGTCACCCGGACTGAAAATGAGAGAAAATCTAAAATTGTGAGTTTTCAGAGGAATAGGGATGATATTTTCCAATGTGAACACTTGTTCCAGTGACAACTGTCTGCAAAAACAAAACCCCTCACTCTGGAGAGATCTTCTCTAACTTTTTGCTATGTGAAGCAAGAAAGTGCAGGAAAATGTCCCCAATAGACTATTTACAGCAAACAAAAGTGACAGGAGCTTTAACCATTCATTAGATTAGAATAGTTTTAGCTATTCTTTTGAAAATGGGAGTTTTATCTTTCAGACTGACATTAGTGTGATCCTAAATATCTTCTGTCAAGTAAAAAAAAAAACATGTTTTACATTGTTTTATTATTATTTAAAATTTCAGACAGCCTTTGCATGTTTTCTCTTTCTTTGTCTTTTCTTTGAAAATATTACAAAATGTGAAATAACCTCACAAGGTGCATTTTCAACGCAAACATTAAAATAAGATTTTTGGCGCATATATGGTGGACTTGCCCCATTATCCAGGGATATTGGGATCAGGTGAGGACTTATGTTGAAAAAATTATGGATTCTCATATTGAAGATGATCCATGATGTATGTTATTTCATTGCACTATAGATTCTAGAGCGAAATATAGAGGTTCATTGACCCCCTCATCTACTTAATGCTGTGAAAGCTCTGATACCGCAGTATTGGAAGCAGGTTTCTATACCCCTGTTACATCAGTGGTTTCAAAAAAATTAATAACATCTGTAATATGGAAGAGATGGTTTTAACGTCTAGAGGACAATATAAAATGTTTTATAAAACATGGGCAGGGTGGTTTGAATTTAAGAAGAATGCAGATTATGGTTTGGTGATGTCGTTGGCACATTAATAATGGTCTTAATATGATGCGGTATATAAATTAAGAGGGGTTGTGTGTGGGTTTTTTTTCTGTTTTTGTTGTTGTTTGTGTTTGTCTGTCCTTGTCTATGTAGGGAGTAGTTAGGTATGTATAAATGTATGTGTATGTGAGGACAGTTAAGCTAAACTAGATGGGATTTAAGGAATGCTTTCAAGGAAGTATTTGATTGTTTCGTAGAAGAGTAAAAATAAGTTATGTAATAATGTCATTATATTTATTTAAATGTATTTATTAAGCGGAAATGTCTATGTTGGATATGCTGCCCAGATGGAAGATTGTTTTGTATTAATATGTAAAAACTTTAAATAAAGAATATATAAAAAAAAAAAGATTTGTTTACCCACCGTGGAATTTTTTTGTTGAAGTCCATTAAGGGACTCCTTCAGGAGGTTAGGACATCAGCAAACAAAAAAGCAGGCCTCTGTATAGCCTATGTATAGCAGAGTGTCCCATGTACAGTGTCCCATGTCCCTCAATGGACTTCAAATAAAGACTTTAGAGTAAGGACAAAAATATGATTTCAATGTTTTTTTTGTTTTTTTAAATGCACCTTGTGAAGGTATTTAATATTTTAGAATATTTTCAAAGAAAAAGATTGAGAGGAAAACATGTAAACGGATTGAAATGTTAACAGGATCAATAAAATATGGTACAAAATTGTAATGACAAGAATCGAAAGCAATCTAACAGAGTAGACAATGGTCAGAGAGATCCAACAGATGTGGAAATCATTTTACAAAGAGCATCTGAAGGGATCAACACCTGAAGGAAGGATAGAAGAAATAGGGCCTACCAAATATGAAAGTTGGTAAGGAGTTCACCAAGGATTAACATAGTGTTTCAGACTAGAACAGATAATCACCAGAAAGAGGAAACTGCTACCTATATAATGATGTGCCTCAGTTAGCAATGTGGAAGACAACCAGTCATACACCATAAGGAAAATAGGTGGAATAACGTAATACTGTAATTAAAAAGGTGTCTGAATTCAAGGGTGCTGCAAGGAGGTAAACCACAAAGGCACCAAGTTGAAGAACAAACATCCCCACATTGGAAAGTAGTAGAGTTTACTTTCAATCAGAGGGTTGAGCAGATCAGATAGAGAACTTCTGGCCTTGAGAGGTTTAAGTGAGAGACAGACTGTGATCGCCTATGAGCTACTTCTGTAGTTGTAGATAAAGAATGGGATTCCTCTGCCAAATCCCAAACTCTCCTGCTTTAATGCAGACACACATTTTGTGTACCAGAGGCATCTAAAATGACACTCCAGTCAACTCAAACTGGGACCTAAGAAGGGAGTCCAACTGCCTGCAAGTGAAATTCCTAAAGGTAAAAACATTATCAACCTGTTTGGTTTCTTTCTTATGGTGGACAACTGGAGTATCTATAGTGGGAAAGCTCTTTCACATTATCAGAACAAAGCCACGATTTGATAGGTAATTTCTAGTCCTTTTAGAGAAATGGTTTACATATTGAGACATATAGGGAAGGTTTTTGCAACCACAAAAGCTCTACAAGACCTTATGCCTAGAACAGCGTGATCCTTCAACTACAGGGTAGAATGTGCTGCAGTAACCAGATTATGAATGATCAGTTTTATCAATGTTAGAATACAGTCTCTTCAGAAAAAGACTCCGGTAAGGACAACCCTATACAAATAGGGGTCTAACCAAATAGGTTAGTGCAGAACCCAGTGCCCTAAGGTTACATTCCAAGCTAGCCTCACCATGTCCAGAGGCCTACTCACTACATGAGTTTTCAGAGACTGGGTCACGCCAGAGCCTGTGCAACATCTCTGGACCTTGAGAGCACCTGGACCTGAAGAGCACTCAACTAACATATTACATAAGGATCTGGAAGGCACCACAATGCAGAGACTGGTGTCAGAATCTCAGCCTCAGTTTGCTCCACAGTCTTTGGTCCAGCTAGGTCCAGGTATGGCCCCCAAATCTATAGCTGAGGATACTCTGATCGGGGTAGCTTACTAGCTCAAGAAGTATTTTCGAAGTCTTGATTTAATTCAAAGAATATTGAGTATTTTGACTGAAAAAAAAATAAAATGGATACTAAAAAAATATAGTTTAAACTTTGTTTCAGCAGAGCTGAAAAAATGCATCCAACCTACCAGGACACTAGCAAAACACTGAGGCATGATGGTTGGAGGTTAAACAGATGGTGGCTTAATTTTTGGTGGCCTAGGAGGGTCGGGATTGCTGGGCAGATGAGGCGGCAAGGGCAGAGTGTGATTGTCAGCCCTGTAGCCCCCTGAGCCCTGCTGGGCCTCAGATCTGTGTGTCCGGGCAGTGCTGACTGATTGTCGCGTCAGCGATGTAGGCTGTGGCATGAAGGGCTCTCTGGGCAGGCAGCTGGGGGTGTCATGGCCACCGTGCTCCCATTCATCTGGTCCACCTGCACCTCGGGGGACATGGCTCCAGGGGGTAGAGGGGATGAGGGCTCACCATTGTCCCAGCGGTCCCGTCTGATCTGCCGATCTGAAGCCTCGGTTCCTGCCGCCGATGGCATATCACGTCCAGGCTGTCGCGCCGTAGGAAAGTCCGGGGATGCAGCAGTGGAGGAAGGCCACCCATCCGTGGGGGTGTCCGGACGCACGCAAAGCTTCTTAAAAGCTATTTTCGGCGTGGACCGCTGCCCTTTCTGCTTGCTCTTCTTGGACATGAGGGTAGTACAGGGTGGGAAAGTGTGGGGTTAAGGCGAAGTCGGGCTCGGAGCTGAAAGGCCGCACTCCTCACACGTCCATGGCTTGGCCACGCCCCCTCCAGTAGTATAGATTTAATTCATCAGATGACATCTTTGCAGTAGTAGTTTGATAATGACATTGTGCTGAACTTTATTGCCCAGGATAAATAGTTCAAAATAGGTTTAAAAACAGAAAAGGCCCAGTGCATATCTGCATCTGTTTTGGCTCGTTTTAATCCCATCATAGAAGTCTTTTTTTTCTGTGCTTTATTACCCGACAACCTGTACTTCTGCAATGTGTCATAGACAAATGCTGTTTCTGGATACCTCAATGAAACTTTAAAGTTTAAGGTTTCCGGAGAAGCAGAAGCTACATGAGGTCTCCACCCTCTTCCACTGATTGGCACTTCATTGAGTTGCCCATTTATATTAACAACTTGCTGTGCAAAGCATTTTATTACTATTTGTGCACACATGATGAAATATAATTTTTTGGCTAGAAAACAGCTTAGAACCCAAAACAATTATATATGTTCTGAAAGCAGATGCCCTGTAGAATAAAAAAATGCTAGTTGCAATTTTTTATGTTGCACGGTTTTTGTGCAAATATTTATCAAACCAGTATTTTTAGGAAAAAATAAACAAAATAAAAATTTAGTGCACAGAAACAAAATATAATACCCAATTTTTTGGTAAAATATGAAAGACTGGGTCACGTCGGGTAAAAAGATACCAAACATGTCAAACCTTAAAATTGTGTACGCCTTTGAAGCCGCAAAAATCGTCAATACCCAAAATTTCCCATAGGGAACACTTTAAACGCTTTTACCCCTCATCAGTTTAGTGTTAACAGTGATTGATGGCCCTAGAATTATTGCTCTCACTCGCAGCTATATGTAACGTGTAGCACAATTATTGTTTTCGCACGTAGGCGCACCGGCGCGTGTTTGTTCGTGCACTTTTTTTTACACTAACTCTATTGCTATCACAGGGGGTTAACAAGCACCCTATGTAATAGCAGATAGGGTGTGACAGGTCCTCTTTTATGAAGACGTCAGGGGTCTTTCAGACCCCTA